ATGTTTTTAGCTGCTGAATAATGAAACAAAAATTGGAACTGGAGGAATTCAAACTGAGCGATGTTGTTGAATGTTGCTGTTCTGCATTGTGGTAATGCACTGTTGTTGTATTGTATTATTGTTATACAAGTCATATGTTTATGAGCTGTTGATGTGCAAGACAAATTCGCTTAGGGACAATGGAGGTTCGTTCAATTCACCTACATACAGTGACCTTCCAGGTGAAGGCAAAGAGCTGACTGCGCTGACTTATCACAATGAGAGTGGAGCTTGGTTGACCCCACTCATAACTTGCCACAGTTACTTGACTTGACACTTACGATTTTGCTCTCTGATGAGATGAGACAAAAATGAATACCAACACTTCTCCTATAATGAAGCCAAATGTCAGTCTGTCAGCCACTTGAGACCGTGTGTGATCGTACAAAAAGAATGCAACAAAACACAGATTTTTTAAACTTGGTGAATACAGTCATTGTTGTGCCTTTCACATATGTCAAGGGCTCGCACAACGCATGTGTATTGCAAGCTGACAAGCACATGTGTCATCAGGGATATTTAAGAAAACTATAAAGACTGTGAGTCTGAGAGCTGCCACATCTTCTCAGTTTTGAGCAGAAGATCATCATAAATCACAAACACTCCAGCTGTGAAATTCTGTACATTGTGCCAGCAGAACCAAATACCACATTGCAATGGGTATTTCTCTAATTACATTGATACCTTTAAGACTGGAGAATCCTTGGGATTAACCTATTCAGAGATATTCCAGCTCCCATAATAATGTTTTGATACAATAAAGTCTAATTTTTCAAAAGAAGCATGGCATTTCACAAGTTTTTTATTAATATAATCATAATTAAAGGCATCTTCTGACTAAGCAGGAGGGAACAAAGTTTACAGACCAGAGGTGACACACTTAGAAAGTATAGAAGAAAAGCATTTTTCTAAAAGCATTGCAGAAATATTCATGCAAAACTCATCATTTATTTTTTTAGCAGTACATTACATTAAGCAAACATGTTTTGAAAAACCAAATTGTATTTTGCATAATATAAATCTTGTTTTGTGCCCATTGAACCTTAAGAATCAAGCAGTTAAATCAAAATCTATCACAGTACAATTCTGCTGATGAAGCAGGTTAATTCTAGTATCTCTTCTTGCTGAATTATAAACACTTCAGTGCACTTTTAAGGAAACAACCTGTGTTCCAGCCCAGCAGTTTCAATATGGAGCAATTCCTTCTCCAATTATGCTTGACAATTTCCAGTCTGTTCAGCTGGGAGCTGGCAAGGAAGAGCATAGAGAGGTTGATGCCTACATCTGCAAACACACGGAATGAAAGATCATCCGCAATTAGAACTTGCCTTCCTTAATTCTAAGTCAAGCAAAACGGACAGAGGGAAAGAGGTTTACAGTAAAATGTTTATTAACAGCAGAGTCACCTAGTGGCAGGAGCACTAATGTGAAACACCCCCAGCTTTACCTTTTCATTTTGTTGCTAATTTGTATTTCCTTCCTTTCACAGCACACAATACTCTTCCCTGCAGAAACTAATCAAAGGCAATGTAACACAATGTATGTCATGTAATGTAGCTATGAGGATATTTACATTAAATTCTTACATGTTG